GCTCTCCTCTCTCCTCTCTCTGCTCTCCTCTCTCCGCGCTCCCCACCCCGCGCTCCCCGCCCCGCGCTCCTCTCTCTGCTCTCCTCTCTCCGCGCTCCTCGCTCCTCTCTCTGCTCTCCTCTCTCCGCACTCCCCACCCCGCGCTCCTCTCTTCGCGCTCCTCTCTCTGCGCTCCCCTCTCCGCGCTCCCCACCCCGCGCTCCTCTCTCCGCTCTCCTCTCTCCGCACTCCCCACCCCGCGCTCCCCACCCCGCGCTCCCCGCCCCGCGGGGCGCGCACTGCCGGGCGGGCAGGCCCCCAGGGCGGGGGGCGGCGGCGGCGTTCGGCGCCCCCTGCCGGGCGAAGGCCGAATAACGCTGAGCGCGGATCCGCGGCTGCAAGGACGGACACGGACAGACACACGGACACAAGGACAGAGACATGGATACATGGGTGGGCTCGTGGACAGACACACAGATACATGGACGGGCACACGGACAGATACATGGACAGGCATGGACCAGCTGGGTGCTGCATCAGACTCTGTGGCTGTTAGGTAAGAGACAGGAGCCCACAGGTGCCATGTGCCACCCTGAGGCACACATGACCCTGTGATCCATGTAACCTGTCTTTGCACAGTTCGGCATGGACAAGAAGGTGCTGAATGTGGGCAGGGTGCATTAGGTTTATTTTCTGTGCAGAGCATCTGGAGCAGCCCAGCCACAGCATGGCCCCAGGGAGCTCAGCAGCACAGTCTCCCCCTGGCCCAGCCCACAGGACTGCTGGAGAATCCCGTCCCAGCAATAAGTGCAAGCTGTCCCTTGGTCTCTGGGGATCCCAGTGCACTATGGACATTTCTGGGGATGCTAGTGGCTGTCAGCACTCATACTGTGGTGGGGCACACACCCAGCCCTGTGGGAGAGAGCAGCTACGAGCAGTGTGCCAGCATGTCCAGAGGGAGAGCATCCCCGAGCTGAAGGCACCAAGATGAGGGGGCCAAAGGTGGGCTCTGCTGGGGTGATGCCTAGGCTGGAGTCACTGGAACTGGAGAACACCAGGATGGTGGGCACAGGAGGTCCCTGGACTGTGGGCAGTGGGGAATGCTGTAGGGGTGGGGGTCCCAGGGTCAAGAACTCCCAAGGTTGGTGGGGTTGGGGGACCTGTGAGGCCCCATGGCTGGGGACATCAGGGTACATGCAGCAGGTCACAGGGCTTGTAGGGATGAAAGACATGAAAAGTCCCAGGCATGCAGGCAAGGCTAGGCAGGGTGTGATGCAGGGGATGAGCAGGGGTCCCCAGTCACTGCAGGCCCTGATGACACACTCAGTGCTGTGCCAGCAGTGGGCACCCAGGGGTCTGCTGCTCTCCATCCTCTAGAAGGGTGTTGCATGGGGCATGTGGGGGGGCACGTGCCCCCCACCCTCTGGGGCTCCTGGATCACCCAGAGGGGCAGAAGACATTCCCCACTCATCACCAAGATGTGGCTAACTAGGGGCAAGACAGAACCTGGGGCTCTGGTTTCTCACTCTTCCAGGATAGGAAAGAAACTTTGAGACTAGCAGGAAAGGGAGGGATTGGAGTTGACAGCATCCCATCCAACAGCAAACACGGGAAAAATAAAATTGCTGAAACATCCCCATGGAGCTTGGGCCAGCAATAACAGATGGGGTTGGACCCCAAGCAAGAGGAAACCCTGGCAAAAGGATGAGCTGTGGAGAAACAGCACCCAGATGACAGTGGATGATGACTGCCACCTATACCTTACTGCTCAACGAATGGAAATTTTGCTCCAGCACTGCAAACAGGGCACCATTTCCAGCAAGAGTCAGGTTTGTTTACAGATACCTACACACACCAGCCCCAGCAGAGAAATGCCTTGGCCATGGTGACAGACAGCCCCAGGAGACCTGGTCATTGCCCCTCCAAGGTCCCCTAGGACTTGCCCTGTACAGAGGGATGTGGGGCATCTCTCATTCCCAGCCCCATGGAGGCAGCTGCCTGCAGCCACATCTCCTCTACACTAGGGTAGGTCAATGCTCCTGGGGAGGCACTTCTCATAGGCCCTGCTTGAACCAGATGGGATTTACCCCCACACCAGCCCACTCCAGTGAAAGCACAAGGGCTGTTGCACAGGGATACAGCCTAACCCAGGGGGCATCTGCTGCACCCCAGGGACAATGCAAGAACAGGCCAAGATGGTCTTTAGCAAAATCAAACAATTTATTTATTCACAGTCAAGAAATAAATAGAGAAAAATCAGGCAGCAGGGGTGCTGAGAGCAGGACTGACCCTTCTGGGAACAGGGACACACCAGGAGCCCAGCAGAACCCAAAGCCTGTGTGACAGCAAGAGTGCAAGAAGGTAGAGAAACATCTGCAATAGGAATCTGACCTCTGGGAAGAAGACCTGAGCCCTGCTAGAGGGCAAGCCAAGGTGCTGAAGAACAAGTGTGTCAGAGGAAACAGCAGGCAGAGCCCAGCACAGGCAGCTGCCTTGGCCTCTAGCACTGGAAGCAGAGATAGCAGCTCAGGTCCCTCTAGCTTTTCATAGTCCTTCCAAAGCAGAACTCAAGGGGAGGAGAGAGGCTTCCTCCCTCCAGCCCAAATTCTCAGCCTGATGAGATACCTCTGCAGCTGAGACTAGATAGGAATGGGGTGCATGTGAGTTGGGAAGGAATGCCACAGGCAGGGTCACATCAGATCCTAACACCACCAATGTGTCAGATACAAAGCACAGAGACACCTGGACTTCTTACCCTCCCTGCCCTCGCTCCACCAGGAGACTCCCAGCCACCTCCTAAGAGCTTCATACTCCAGTTTAGGACACAGCTCATATCTGAGAACATCAGGCCAAGCCCCCCCTGCCCACCAAAACCAGGCAGCAGCCATGGGGGCTGCAGGAAGGACAGATGTCATGGGGCAACAACCCCAGCACAGGTTCCTGCCTTTAAAAACCCACAATTTACATAAAACTGTCATTGTAAAACCTCCCCACTGAGCAGCACTGCACGGGGAGTGGAGATGAGCCAAGTAAGTCCCAGGTAGAGCAAGATAAATGCTAAAGTCCAGATCTGCAGGAAGAGGCAGAGCCCAGGGGTGATGTGCTGAGGGCAGTGGAAATTACCGGCAAGTGCAGGACTCTGCAATCATGTTCTCGAATTCCTTGTACAGTATGCCTCCATTGCGCTCAATCATGAGGACACTGATGGGGCTGTAGCGATAGGGCACACAGGAGGGCCGGGGCACACTGGCATCCACAAGCTGATGGACAAAACTCTGCACCACAGCGTGGTTGGGTGCGTGGTAGTCATAGCGGAGCAGGTGGGGACAGGTGCCCTTGCAGTAGCGTGGGTTGTAGCGGTGAGGAGCGATGATCCAGTGGTCCCAGCCCAGCTGTGCAAAACTGACAGGGAAGGAGTGGAGGGAACAGTCACTCTTCTCCCCTCCCTGCTCCCGCAGGTAGCTGGACAGGTCATGAGCCAGTGTCCCTGTATCACGTCGGTGCCGGTGGGGCTCTGCTGACAGAGGTGCCAACCCTGCCTGGGTATCGTTAAGGTAGAGAATGAGGAAAGGGTGGCCAGGGGCCACTGAGGCATTGTGGCCTCCTGCTCGGCCAGCGCGCACACAGACATGCTGCAGTACCAGGCTCCCCACGCTGCTGTTCCCCAACACCAGGTAAGGGGTGACATCAACTTCAGCCCAGCCATGGCGGGGACGGGCAGTAGGGCTGAGCAGCACCCTGGGTGCCTCATCAGCCATCACCAGCTCCAGAGCGCAGAGGAGGCGACCATGGGCCAGTGACAGACTGGGCAGGTAAACCACAGTAGCTCTGAGGAGGTGCTCAACCTCTGGCTGGCTCTCCACGTGGTAGGTGAGGGCCTGCAAGTACCAGCGACCTGCAGGGAAGCAGTGACCAGTACCCTGTTAGCATAGTGCAGGAGGCACTGTGCAGCACCCCTTCCTCTCATGGTGCTGCCACAGCCCTACACAGCACAGCAGAGCCTGTGACAGCCATCTACCCCAGCACAAGGCAGAAGCTGCAGCAAACAGAAGCCATGAGCCAAGGCTTGCTGGTGGCATGAAGGGCAGAGTCTGTAACACTTCCCATCCTCTGCACCAACACCACTAGCCTGGCAGAGCATCAGGAAGAGTGGGAACGAGAGAAGGGCACACAAGGGCCAGCTATGCATTTGCCCATCTCACCCCTAGGGCAGAGCCTTAGACTCCTGCCAAGTGGAACCCCACAATCAAGAGCAACCCCAGCCAGGACGCTGCAGAGAGGGGGAAGGAAGCAGGCAAGAGAGCTCGCCTGCAGAGCTCAAGGCCACCCTGCTAGCTCTGCTAAGCGCCCATGCCATCCTTAGTGCTCGCCAGTTCCTTACCTGCCCAGGGCTGACCCCCATGGGAAGTGGCCGGGACCAGGCGGATGGTGTTGGTGCCAAGGCTGCGGCTGCGGCGGGGCCGGCCTTCGCGGTCAGCAGCACGCCGGTACAGATCCAGCATGTAGCGCAGGGGCTGCCCACTGGCTGGCCTCGCTTGCCAGCCTGGGCTGCCTGGAGCCCGTGTTTGCAGGGCCTGCAGGAGGGGCAGGGTGGGGACAGCAGGCAGGGAGCCAAGGGGCAGTAGGGACTGGTTTGCAGCCTGGGAAAGGGGCACAACAAGGAGGAGGAGGAGGAGGCTGGTGAAAGAGTAGGGCATAGCCATGATAGGTGAGTGTCGGGAGCAGGTAAGAGGGACAAGGTGAGGATGGCCAGCAGAAGAATTAGGAAGAGCCTGCAGTCATGCTTCTCCTCACTTGAGAGGCAGAGTTGACTGTGGGCACCAGCAAAAGGATCCCAGGGTGCTTCCTGCTCCTATCAAAACAGGACAACCACAACAGCTGCTTCAGATTGACACAGGAACAGAAAGGTGGGGGGAATCTGTATGCAAAAAGAGGTATAAATTCCAGACTAAAATCCAGACCAGGAGCAAAGCAAGCCCAGCAGAGCCTGGCTATGGGAGCTGTAAAAGTGCTGGGGTAGGGGAGTGGGGTGAAGCGGAGAGGGAGTACCAGCTCATTCAGCTCACCTGCTCCTGGCTCAGCCTCCTCCTATGGGGTAGGAGGTGCTTGCCCAGGCCCATTTTAAAGGCATGGACTCAATTAGGTCTTAAAGAGGCAGGAGCTCACTGGGTCCCAGGGGATTGGGACCAGACAGAGCCCGAGAGGGTGCTTTCATGCAATGAGAGTCCCTCCAGCTCCCTCCACTCTGTGCTGACTCTCCAGCAGTGGCTCATCACCTTTATGCCCATTGCTGGTCTGCACTGCCCCAAGCAGGCACAGAGCCTGGGGTTCTGCTCCCCAGCATTCCCACAGCACAGACAGGCTGCCCAGTGCCTCAGTCTATCCAGCTGGCACTGAGACCCTTGGGTGAGCAGAGTGACCCTGAGCCCAGCAGTGCTAAGTATTTCTGGGTGAGCCAGCAGTACCACACTATAGGCATCATCCTGCCACCACCACCAGCATGCCCACAACTTTGACTACCTTGGCCAGTTTCCAGGCCTTTCTGCCAGCACCTGCTCAAAGCCGAGAGGTGAGCATGATGCCCAGCCTCTCACTGGCATGGGCCATTCGAGCCCCTTTCCATACTGGGGACAGTGACTCCATGGTGCTTGCCTGGGAAAGGCCCTCTGGGCACACACTACAGTGTGGCATGGGCAGCTGCAGCCAGTGCCATCTCCAGAGCCCCTAGTGTTGTGCCCAGACCCACAGTACACTGTTGCTCTCCTGCTGGGATGGAAGTGGCCAGGGGGTGAGCACACTGGTTGGGAATCACTGGTGCAGGCACAGGGATGTGGGGAGAGCTGGGAGAGTTGTACTGGTGTCTGCTGCCCACCCTTCCTGGTGCCAGCTGGGCACAGTGCTAAGGGCTGGAAGGGCTGTGTGGAGGTGTGTGTGGTGCTAAACGTGATGAGCCAGGGCACAGGAGCCCTTTTGACTGGCCAGGCAACCCTGGTTACTCATTTGGGAAAGTGCACAAGGGGCAGATGAGCCAGTGAATGTTAGGAAAAGCCTGGGCATGGCAGCAGCCAGTCATGATTTGGGGGCATTACAAGGCAGGTGGGAAGGCCATAGGGGAGAGCAGATTTGGGTCAGGGTGGTGGACACGTCAGTGGTGGACATGTCAGGGCCGTATGGGGGGAGCCATGCATCTCTCCTGGGTGGGCTCTAGCACTGCAAATAGCCCAGGTACCACTTCACCCTGTGACATCCTGGCTGTACTGGTCTGACTGCAGATGGGCTGCACAGGGAACAGGCAGAGTTCAAGGCAGGTGCTTGTGGACAGGGACTACCAAGAAAAACTTGAGATCATTCCAGCACTGGGAATGAACCAGCTTGTCACTGCAAGCCGACCCTCCCAGGCCGTGGCAGGCAACCAGGGGCTGCAGATGCTGCTTGCAGAGCGGAGCTTTCCAGGCCGGCTGTGTTGTCTGGGAATGAGATGAGTAAGAGTCGTGGCCCCAGGCGGGAAGGGGAGGAGCTGGACTCTCGGGTTTCCCCAGGAATCCATGCCGATCCACTCCCACCGTACCCTGCTTGCCATCGCCGGCTCTTCCCCTTGCCTCAGTTTCCCTCAAGTGGTACAGCTGCTTCTCCTGTGCCTGGCAGGGAAAAGACAAAGGTGAAGAACGGCCAAACTGCCAGGCACACCCTAAGGTGCCCAGCAGGATATGGATAGGGTGGGGGCTGGCATGGGTAGGTCAGACAGGAGCCAGCAGCATGCGCTGACCTGCAGGCAGTGGAGCTTGGGCTGCCAGTGTGACTGCATGGTGGGGAGCCGGGGGAGCTGCATCACCCTACTGCCACCCCTCGTACCCACCTGAGTGCTCTTGAACTGCCACCGTGCCGGGCTAAGCTGAGCTGAGCAGACCCTATTAGTGTGGGTTCCTGGTGGCACCATATTGTGCTGAACCCAGCTGGGTCATTTTGAGCTGAGCCTGTGCATGGTCAAGCTAAGTCAAGCCAGGCCAGGCTCTGCTGAGCTGAACTGTGCCAGCCCTGCTTGTCCAAGTCAACCAAACTGAACTGCACTGAACAAAACTGGGCCAGGCCAAGTGGAGCTAAGCCAGATGAGGCCCCTGGTTGTTCTACGCTGTACCAAACTTAACTTTGCCAGCACTGTGTCATGTTGAAATGAGCTGAGCCAAGCCAGAATGTGCCAACCCAGCTGAACTGCACCGAGGCATGCCAGGCTGAGCCATGCTGGGCCAGTTAACCCGTACTGGCCCCCCTGCCATCCCACACTGAGCTGAGTTGTGCTGTAACGTGCTGCACCGAGGTCAGTTGAGCCGGACAGTAGAGAAATACGCCGGCTTGGCTGTACCAAGATGAGCCAAGCAGCTCACTTCAGGTCCCTGGGCTAAAGGGCGGCATGCCAAGGTTTGAGCAGAAAGGCGCTGTGCCGTGCCATTGTGTGCAGAGCCATGCCACGAGCCGTGCTGTGCCGTGCCGAGCCGGCCGCCGCCGTCCCCCCGCGCCTCATTGGCGGCGGCGGAGCAGTCCCGGTGCGGGGCGGCCCCGCCCCGCACTCGCCCCGCGCCGCTCAGCCCGGGCGGGCGGGGGTGTCATTTCCTCCAGAGCTCGGGGCCGGGCCGGGATGGGGCTGTAGCTGCAGCCGCCATGGAGCGGGCCGAGGGCCGGCCCGGCGCCCCCCAGTACGTGCATGTGCAGCTGCAGGGGGGCGCGCCCTGGGGCTTCACGCTGCGCGGCGGGCTGGAGCACGGCGAGCCCCTCATCGTCTCCAAGGTAGGAATCGCCGGCGCCGTCCCGCGTGGGCTCCGCGACATCCCCCCGCGAGGGGCCTCCCGCCCGTGGCGGGGCGCGGGAGGCGGCAGGGGAGACGGGAGGACAGCCGGGGCGCGGCGGTGCCGGGGGTGCGGGGAGCCCCGGCGGGGTCTCGAGTCCCGGCGCGGCGGGACGGGGGCGGCCGCTCGCACCTACGATCTCCGCGGCCCTCCGCTGAGAGCCGCGGTGGAGAGTGAGAGCGAGAGGGGCGGAGGGACAGCCCGGGCCCGGCGGCAGGAAGAAATTCCTCTGGCACATCCGTTGGGCTGGCGTCGGGGGCGGCCCCCACATTCCCTTTCACGTCTTTCCCGGTCCCGTCCCGCGGGCTGTAGCCGGGGGAGGTCAGCCCCCCGTGTGCCCGTCTGTCGGTGCCGCGCCCACGGGCGTCCCGGGCACCGGACTCTGCGGGGACATTTAGGGCCACGGTGGGGGAGCCAGAGTCCGGCCCCTCGTGCCCCGGCACCCCTGGAAGGCGGGGGTAGGACCGTGCCCGGGACGGGGCTGGCGCCGGGGTGCGATGCCGAGCGGAGCCCGGCCGCAGCCGGCAGCGAGCGCTGAGGGTGAGCCCCGCGGCCCCGACGTCTGGGCACACAGAGGGGCAGCAATTCCCGCGGCCCCCGCCAGCGCATCGCTCCGCGGGGAGACCCGCAGGGTGCAGCGCCAGGGGAGCTGCAATAGCCACCCCTCCACGGAGCCCGGACGGGGGGGGCCCTGTCGCCGGACGATTTGGCCGCCTGCCCGCCCGGTGTCACCGTCCTGCCGAGCCGGGGTGCGGCGGGCCGGGCTGGCGGCCCCGGGGCTCTCCCTGCCCCGAGCCGCGCCGACTGCGCCCCCGGGCCGCTCCACGCCCTCGGCGGGACGCGGGCAGCGCGGTCTGGCTGGGGGAGCTGGAAAAGTGGCTCCGGTCCCAGCCCTGCGCCCTGAGGTGGCCCCGCCGGCGGGTGGGGAGCCGGGCGCCGAGGGAGTAACTGCCCGCGTCCCGACTCGCTGCTGCCCTTCGGGGTGCGGGTCCCCGCGGCCCCGCCGCTGGCCGGAGGAGGGGATGGAGCTCCTCGCCGCTTTGGAGAAGGGGGTTGGCTTGCGGGCCGCGGGGTGTCGGCCCCCGCGCTCCCACGGACACGCCGCCACCGCGTGTGCTCGGCAGACAAAAGGGGCTTGTTCCAGCGCTCTGTGCTTGCAGGGGAGGGTCCCCCGGGGTCACCGCTGCGGCCGGCCGAGGTGTGTGCGGAGAGGGGCGGCCCGAGGCGCGGGGGGCGCGGGCCGGAAAGAGGAAGGGCGTCCCCGCACTCGGTGACACAGTTTGGCCTCTGAGCCCACTCCGGGCAGGATCCCTTCCTGTGGCAGTCCCACGGCGGTGCTCACACGCGCTCTTAAGCCTTCCATGGAGCTGCAAACGCCGTCCCTGAGCACGTCAGGGGCAGGGAGGGAGGTTGGTGTGGGGCAGGGTGAGCACAGCTCTGGCACTGTTCTGGCTGTGATTCCTAAGACAAGTTTCTCCTGAGACAGGCAGACATTCCCCTGAGCCATCTGGTGCCCACCATTAGGGCCCAGAGCAAACTCCAGCGATGGTGTTCGGGAAGTGTCCTGGGCTGGCTCAGCCAGGCAGGGCAGCAGGCGGTGGTGTTTGCCAGCCAGTGCTGAGTTCACTGGTGGCAAAGGCAGAACAAGGGGCTGTTTGTGCCAAATTTAGCTCCTGGTGAGCGGTGCCAGGGCTGAGCCTGTCCGTCCTAGTGCATGTGATGGCCCAGACATGGGTGCAGACCTGGTGGTGTCCTGCAGCAAGTGGGGACACCTTTCACCTCTGACTCATCTCCATGGCAGTGGCAGGCAGGACTGGTGGGCACGTGTCTGGACAAAGGGCTGAGGTGAAGGTGCAGCCTGCCTTGCACGCTCTGCTGGTGCTCGGTGGTGGGCAGCAGCATGGCAGGAGGTAAACCCAGGTGCTCCACCGACTGCATGGTAGAACTGGGAGTCCTCACAGGCAGTCAGGGTCCCCTGCCAGGAAGGCAGCCCCATGGCTGACATCTGGGTAGGAGGGCAGCCTGCCTGCAAAGGCAGGCACATTGGGCTGTGCCCAGCCTGGGTATGGCATCGTGGTGCTAAGATCCCTGGAAAAATGGGAGAGCTGTCAGTTCTGGGCACAGCTGTGCCAGGCAAAGCCATGGGACAGTTGTGCACTGGGCAGGAGGTTTGGCTGCCCCTGCCTTCCTCCCTTCTAAGGTGACATTTTGTCCAGGGGTAGTGGAATGCTCCCTGAGCCCT